CTCGCTGGCGGATTTTTCAGACCACAAAGCAGATGTCATATGCAGGGAGCTTGGTTACGACCATTCAGAGGACTGGTTCGGAGCAAAGGTCTCGTTTTTCAGAAAAGCCTGGTAAGTTACGCTTTGTTTAGAATTAGTGCATTCACGAATTGTTGGACGATACTAATCTATACATTTCTATGAGAGCGAAGTAAAAGTGATCGTGAAAGCCAATTTTTGATTTAGGCTAATTATTCGTATTTGAATTTAATCATCAAACGGTGCGACAGCTATTTAACTAGTAAAAACTATTTTTTAGTATTGTAATTTGTATCCATTAAAGATCAAGGTTTTAGGAGTCATCTTTGATATATCCTTTGTTATTTCGGTTGATATATCCTTTGTTATAAACATTTACAAGTCTAATGAAAAACGTGTGCTATTGGAACACCAATCAAGAGGCAATAACGAGGAAAGGTGGCAAACCTTTTTACTGAATAATATTCCAGGTTTAAGGAAATCTCAACGGTCACAGAATCACACACCTCACAACATAACTTAGTATTAGTAAACTATCTAAACAACACGAGCGCGCATACCACAAAATAATTAAAAACAAGCCACATTCAACAAATATCTTAGTTACGAAAGCACTTCAAAATTAATAATTACCGGCCACTTTTGAAATCAGAAAATTTTCACTGCCGGACCTGCTACTAGTTTACTGATAATACTCCTGGCCATCGCTCAATCAAAGCCTTATCAGCACAACACGCACAATCCCATATCATCAACTTGATCTCAGCGCATCATAATAACAACCACGCGCACGGACTGTCACCGCTCACTTCAGACATACACACCCACTTACCACTACACAGTAGTCAGTACCACACAGAGCTCAGCAATCAATTCTAAATTAAACGGCTAGCTGATTTTGATAAAATGACATCGTGACCTGGCGTGATCAATTATTTTAATTGAAGTTCAACGGCTGCACCCCTTACTTTTTAACTAATGATAAGAGACGTATATATTAGGATATTTGTAATCTGATAAAATTTAAAGTTTTGGTGTGTGAATTAAAGCTTGGTGTGAGAATTAGTGTGGAAATAAAAGAGATATTTATTTAATTATATCATATATCTTAATACAGTAAGTATTATTATTTTAACTACAGATTATATTATTTCAGTTAGTATCGACATGAATGTTACGATTGCAGTTTATTTTTATATTATATTGTACTCAATAAACCGGTTTCAAAGCCCTCGGGTCTTTAAAACAAGGTTTCTTGCTTGCAGGCAGGACCTACCACTACTCTTAAGGGTCCAAAATATAGCCCCTGTACCTATAAGCACGTATTATAACATCCGAAACAACTGTTATGAATAATAATCTAGATTAAATGGAATAGTTCTAAAATCAAGAAGTTAAACTTAAACTAGTACAAACTTAAAAATTGTCAAGCAGATTAATCAATTGAACCCTTAAATGTATTTTTGATCATAGGTACGATAAATCGGTTGATGAACAAGAAAAGTTAATTTGGAACACGACGATAAGAGAGCGATGCGATATAAACAAGGATATGATAAAGCAATGAGTATCCTTAACTGTGATGGAGCTAAAATTTATCTTGGTTTCGAAATCTGTTCCTACTCCTTGGCGATCAGAGAGAAGAATGATAATAAGTATAACAGGAATACATATTATTCATTGGGACTTTTGTGCAATATACAACCCGGTAAGCATCTTACCGTATTTCTTTTTATTTGTTGTGTACAATATAATAATTATAAGCTTTAGCTCTATAGGATAGGAACATTGTAAACTTGACAGGTATTTTCATTCATTCTTAATTCACTTATTATTGGAAAGGAATTAAAATTGATGTCATAACAAGATCACTTCAGAGAGTTGTACCATTACTGAACATAGGGGATTTCTGAAAAATGTTTGTCAAATCGATGCATATTTTGAAGTTTTTGAATGCTTAGACTCTTCGGCATATTACGTATATTTGCCAATGAGGACACCTGATGGAATGTTAGATGTGTCATATCTGTCACTCAACAGTGTTTCAAAGATCTGTTCTGATGATCCACATGTATACCAAGGTTGTATCGCGATGGATTTGACTCCACCAACTAGACACATTTCGGGACCATTTTGTGAGACGAATTTCTCAAAAGATATTAAGGGAAGGGTACCTAACATGTTCGACCTGTATGTCGATGCCATCCCTCCCCAAGATAACATTATCATTAAATGTGATGGATTATGTGATGATAATCTGTGTCGTGATGAGGCATTGTGTAATGGCTATCGTTATGATTGGTTTTGTGATGGAAAACTAAGTGAACATCATATATATATTTTCAAAACAGCTCACTTCCGTAGTATGTGTGATCGCATACTTCATTGCAAAGATCGTGAGGAAACGAAATCTTTCGATTCAATAATGGAAACCATGCAGATCACTAATGGACACCATGCAGAACAATGCAATTTTACCAGATGTTCTGCGCTCTTTACTCGTGGTGACTCTGTTGTAATCAATCAATTGAGAAGGTATTCGCATGAATCATATTGCAAATTGTATATTGATCAAACCAATTGTACGGACCCAATGAGAGGAGTAGTGTCGTGTATGATTGACGGATACCCATCTACGGTGTCTAAATTTGCCACCTGCGTTCAGAACCCAGGTTTGTGCGATGATGGGTTCGACAGCCTATGTTTGAGAACCACTCCCTCCTGTTATGTCCATAAGCATCAATTTTGCGATGGAGTTTTGGACTGCTCCGATAAAAGTGATGAAACATCTATGATCTGTGATAGCATGACTTTGTCTAAATGTTCCCGCAGGTATCGTCATGAAACAGAAATTTCTATACCTATCTCTTGGCTGATGGACGGAATTAAAGACTGTTTAGACGGAGAGGACGAAACAGAGATGTGGCCAACATGTGGAGTCGGCAGCCTGTCTCGTTATGTGCCTGACAGTAGTAAATGCGAAGATGTTTACATATGCAGCCCTAGATCATACTATTTTGTAACATTCCAAGACCTATGTAACGGTCATGACATTTGCGATCATGCAAGAGTTTGTGGTCAGACTAGATCATCCGAACATGTTTTTACAAACCCCATTGCCACTGGAATATCACAACCATTGGAATTTCTTACGCATTGTGTTGCCGGAGTGATCAAAAGTTTAGGTCACTACATATCACCATGCGTCCAAGAAGATTTCTTGCCTGTCTCAATTTTCGGACTCAACGGTATACCAACAATAGTTTTACCCAAGGCCATCGTAGACTGCAGAAAGGTTTTTGGAAAAGTTTACGTTTATCTTAGTTGCTCGGGAAAATGCAGAGATAAACCTTCTTGTCCATTGCGATCACTTAACCATGACTCTTGTTTGACTAATAACCAATACAAAGACAGGGTAATCACGATAGAGAATAAAAATCGACTAACTTTTTTGAAGAAAAACAGGAAAAGTGGGAAGTATCAAAATAATGTCTTTCTCTGCAAAAATGATAGATGCGTCAGTTATGACAAGGTTTGCAACTTGATCGACGATTGTGGTGATAGCTCAGATGAAGATAATTGCATCAATAACTTTTTGTGTAAAACTTCAAAACGATTCATTACACGATGCCAGAAATGTGATGGGAAAATAGATTGTGATGACTACACCGACGAGTGCAATGAGGACTGTACGAGAACAATTATTTCAGAACTCTCTCTCAAAGTATTCAGTTGGGTTGTTGGTTGTGCAGCAGTTATACTAAACTCTGTCAAACTTTTCAAGAATCTTAAACACCTGGCCACCAGAGATTTCACATCGGCATTGAACAATAAAGCTCTGACAACTGTCATCCATGTTGGGGATCTGATAACAGGATTGTACCTGTTAACCATTGCTACTTTGGATTCGCTCGTGTTTGCGAAATCTTATTGCAAAGAAAGATTTAATTGGTTATCCAGTGATGGGTGTGCTTTGTTGGGAGTGTTTAGTACTTTCGGTGGTCAAATATCCCTCTTTTCGATGACAATTCTTAGCATTTTTAGAGCTATTGGAATCATCAAAGTCCAAAAAATGACATCCAAATATACATTTGCAAAAATGGTTGTCATTATCTTCATAATAGCAATTGCGTCATTTGCTCTGGCTTATATCCCCTTAATGACCCGCTATGAGGACATATTCGTCAATGGCATGACTTACAATCCGAAAATCACGATATTTCCAGCATTTGTCACCAAAGACACGCACATTAACAAGATAAGCATGTATTATGGAAGAATCGTTGGCTCTGAAATGTTCACTTGGGCAGAAATCAATAACTTGATAAACAAAATGTTTTCAAACCAATATGGAGGTATAGGGAGACGTAAAATCCATTTTTATGGCAATGATGGTGTATGTCTCTTCAAATACTTTGTATCACAAGAAGACCCACAAAAGGCTTATGTATGGTCAAATCTAACCCTAAATTTTCTGTGTTTCACCATCATGTTTATCTGCTACAGTAAAGTTTTACTCTTTAAAAAGAGCTCAAAGCAACGAGCTAGAATATGCAATTATGAAAATCAAAATAGACGCTCAAGAGACAAAGAGGAGACCGACAATCACATAACCATCATAATTGCGACAGACTTCTTTTGTTGGGTCCCTTTTATGTTGGTGTGTGCACTTCACTCTTTTGAATTAATGGATGCTACAGCCTTTTATCCAATATCTTCGATCGTGATTCTACCAATAAACTCTGTGATAAACCCCATCCTATATCATAACTACATAACCCTAACAGCCAAGTTGATGCTAAACAAAGTCAGGTATTGGGTGTCTCTATTTTACATGTGTTATATCAGAAAATGTGTATTATCCTTAAGGAAAGTAGGTATAACTATAAAACGGAAAAGACATGTAAAAAGAAACGTAGAAATGACTCCACAATCTGCTCTCAATACAAATGAGCCCCCAGTACAAGAAATGACTCCATTTAACAGAACTGTGAACAGGAAATTACATACTGGTTTGTACGAAAATGATGATACTATGGAGTCTGTTTCAAAGTCAGATATCAGTAAAAAGAATGTTGCCACATTGAGTGATACAGAAATAGCAACTGAGTATTTTGAAAGATTCCAAAGAAAAGAAGATCTCGCAAGTAAATTTATTATTATGCGCAGGACATTAAAAAGTATTCCTGAAGAATGCGAAACATCTCAAAACGAGGATTCAAATTCAAGGAATATTGGAAATTGAAAAAGATAAAGAAAAAGGATCCCAATCATTTGCATCAAAAGATTTAGTATAATTATGTATTGTTTGAAAAGATTTATATAAAATAATCTAGCGACTTGTGATAAAAATGAATTTATCAAAGAGCATGATATTGTTGCCGTAAAAAAGAAGAGAGGCGGAGAACGGTAGCACACCAGAGCAATCAGCAGCATTCTTTCAAAACGGTAGCACACCAGAAAAAAAAGATTTGATGCTGAAGCCTCTACTCTACATCGACAGAATAGGAATTTCAAAAATCGCTTTCATCAAAGGAAGGACATATTCCAAATGAATATTCGTCAGCATAAATAGTTTTTAAAAAACATGAACAATTGTGAAACCAGTAGGTCTTTCCTCATTTTATTTCAACTGAACAAAGCACACAGCTATTTTATTTTAAAAACGGTTTTATGTTTTTTTATTTACTTGCTAAATACAGCTTTTGAGACGCGAAATTCAGAATTATTTGATCGATACGATTATGCTAGTGAAACAAAGTTAGAAGAACTACTAATCTGTAATAGACTTGATGAAATTAAATAAAACGATTACTTTTTTGAAAGATTATTAAAATTAAATTGAAACAATATCCCTTGTCTAATGACATGTTATTCAATTTGGTACAATTTGCACCGTTATCGTATTAACTTATTAACAATGTGCCAACTCAAAGAAGCATATTTGAAATTAAGGAACTGTACTTCACCTTAAAGTGGAAAGTCTATATTTTAGAAACGAATTTTGGCCGTCATATCATACTGCCATTCAACTCAAGGTAGATACATTTAACATATTTGAGTGAATAATTTAATGTGGTGTACTCACATAAACAACTTTATGTTAAATGATAAGGTTACTCTTTACTATTGAGCTAAGAACTCTTTCAAGAGTATTAGTAATGGTCGTATATCTCATTACCAGGCTATTAGCACTGTTAAACGTTATGATAAAGTGGTTAAGGCGTATTTAGTGGAACACTGAATAAACACATTCAGATTACCTGTAAATTTCAATTAATTAACAATTAATCGGAAATAGTTGGAATTTATCTTTAAGTTACAAGTTATACACTGCAAACAAATCTCACGAGGATAAGATAAGCATTAACAAAACTAGGATGATGATTAATCACTCTACACTCGACAAAACCAAGGTATCATACACAAAAATTCTTGAAGCTTGAGGCTTCGTGACAAAAAAGCACTTTACGCGTTGTTTTAAAACACACATATAAAAATATTTCACACAAATAAAAATAGTTAAAAACAATTAATTTCTGAACAAAAAAAGACAACTGGTTAATCCCAAGACTGAAACCCCTGGTCGCTGGCGTCAGTGAAGTAGCAACCTGAGTCGCGGACCCTCAGGAGACTGTCCAAGAGTCGCATGAGATCCTTTCTGATTCGCAGACTGGTTAATCTGGTGGTAGGGTCCTTATCCCAGCACTCACTGGTTATCCGGGACAGTTCGATCAGAGTCTGGTGTTTAGACCACGAGTCTGGAATAGGGGGACGTTTGCCCGTGTCCACTACCACCGCTGACATCTCCTCAATGGTAGGGTCGCAAGGTACGTCGTGTTGGAAGGGGTACTGGTACGGTTCTGTCCCTGGACTGACCCTCTGTCCAATCTCCCAGGCAACCAGACCGAACATGTAAATATCTGCCTGCCTCAGGCTCTGAAACGAGCTGAGGTTTATTGAAGAGTCCAAGATTTCAGGTGCCATATACCGCCGTGTCCCCACTTGGAAGTGGAATTTCTTCTTGTCCGGTAAATTATCGAAGAAGTCTGACCGGGCGGCTAGCCCAAAGTCCGCTATACAGCACTGAGATCCCTGACCAACTGATTTAATGAGAATGTTTTTTGACTTGATGTCTCTGTGAGCGATGCTGGGTTTAGCGACGCTGGATCTGATCTCGGTGTGCAGGTAGTCAAGCCCTGCTGCCAGCGACAGGATCATCTGTAAACTATCCTGGAAGAGAACACATTTTTAGACATTTAGCAGTATACAAAAATAATAATCACATACTCATAATAAACGATTAAAAAGAGGAAACTAGAAACATCCCTCATACAAGGAGTGTTTGGGACCACGTGATGCCCAAATAAGGAGCGACTGGTTCAATTGGTGAACCTTACCTGAACTGTTAACTGAGCATCCTGAAGGAAATCGTAAAGGGAACCTCTAGGGTGGAAATTTAGGACTAAATAGTATTCCATGTTGGCAACACAGTCCCGCTGGTCTGCGCCTGAAACACCAACATTAACGTAAAATAATAACCTAGTAAAAATTGTAATATTGTAATACTCCACTTCATTAAATTACGATCGTAATCATACGCCAAGGAATCAGTGTCAATGCATAAGCTCCGTATCGTAAGTTGAAGTTACCTATGAAGGAGAGGATGTTCTCGTGTCGGAGCCAGTAACTCTGGTACATCTCCGCCTCATGCCACCAGCTCGCCTCTTCTCTATTGCTAAACACTTTTACTGCTACCTGTACCGAACATGGAAGTGTAAGTTTGAGTGGTTAACTTTACCAAGTAACGGAGTAACATAATATGCAGTGTCAGTCACAGGCAGCAGATAATCCGTTAAGAGATTTACTTCTCGTCCACCGGTACGGGAACAAAATTGCAAAATTAAGTTAATATTTTACGTTCTTGATAATGATAATGATAAATATAATATTAATAATTAATAGTTAATATAATAAGATATGATTAATAATTAATAATTAATATAATAAGATATAATTAAAAATAAATAATTAATATGATAAGATATATATTGATAATTAATATAATAAGATATAACTAATAATTAATAATTAATAACTTTTCACGTACTTGCCCACCAGCTCTCCAACGTCCACGCCAAACTTCTCCGTATCTGCCCTTCCCTATTCGTTCACAGAATGTAATCTCTCGGATCAGGGTCTTCTCTATAAGTCGGGGGTTACCCGATCCACTGGAGCATGAAGTCGTGAAGTCTTGCGAAGGAACACTCTGAGGATGAGATGATGTTATACTCTGAGGATGAGATGATGTTATACTCTGAGGATGAGATGATGTTATACTCTGAGGATGAGATGATGTTATACTCTGAGGATGAGATGATGTTATACTCTGAGGATGAGATGATGTTATACTCTGAGGATGAGATGATGTTATACTCTGAGGATGAGATGATGTTATACTCTGAGGAAGAGATGATGTTATACTCTGAGGATGAGATGATGTTATACTCTGAGGATGAGATGATGTTATACTCTGAGGATGAGATGATGTTATACTCTGAGGATGAGATGATGCTATACTCTGAGGATGAGATGATGTTATACTCTGAGGATATCACCGGATGTCACATCAAAATCGCATCAGTGCTGGATCATATGAGAGTTGTATGCAAGGTCACACAAACCTGCCAGTTTTGTGTAGACCCAGGTGTGATGTAGTGAGGTAGAGTTAAAGGAGTAACTAGAGAGTTGCTGACTAACACCTTCTCTCTATTGACTCTGCAGAACCGCAGCACTAACATCCCTCCCAACGTCATAGCTGAAACAACACGTGTTAGCACATGGTGACGTCATCAGTCATGACGTCATAATCAACAGATTAATTTCTATTCGAGTGTAGGTCTGAGCACTGTACGTGATTCTGCGATTGCAACTGTTTCATTAGACGAGCACGTGCACACACATGCACGTGCTCACACGATGCATGTATACTCAACACATCTTCATTAACCACAGCGTACGTTCTTCAGGCTAACTACCCTCAAATTATACACTTATTTTACGGGCTCAGCTGACGGTGTGAGATCCCCATTTAGCAGGGTGTAATAAAACTATCAGAGGTCTAATGAAGAAGTGGAGGGGCGGGTCGTAATTCGATACAACTCCTTCATAAACTGTTCTTCTGGCAATGGTACAGCTTTCACCAGCTTGTTAATTCGCACTACAATTATTCAGCATAAATGTCATGAATATTCGCCCTGACTGCATAACTATGCATAAAATGTCGGCATAATTAGTGCGTTGTATTGAATATTCTTCGCACAAAAAGTGAGTCAAGACAGCGGACGGAGTACGGACGGACTGTGTAGGGCCAGGCTTGTTCAGGCTGCAAACTTATGGAGTGCCTAAATTTATCGTTGGCGTACTGCAGAATTGAACGTTAAAATACTGGGGTATTTAAAACACCCCATAATATTGCAGAGTCGTTAACATCCCATTATAAATCATCAGATATCATTTGAATTTGATAATAGCCCCCGTGATCAGGCCCTATCATTATAATTTGAGTAGCCAGATGCTAGATTTAAAGGTGCGATGAAACCCGCTTGTTTCTAGTGCTAGGGAAAAAAGATAAAAATCAAATTGAAAAAATAATCAAAGAAATCGACTGTAGGACGTATTTAAATTGTGGGAACACTTAGCGAAACCGAAGAAAAAGTTTGTATTATGATGAACGCAGAAGTAAGATATCAACAATGCAATAATTGTGTACCTATAAGATACAGACTACAGCTAAAACCACTTACCTATGATGAATACGAAGATGCCGACTATGTAAAGAGGGTAGGTGAGAGAGTTCTGAGGGTTCGGCTCGAACGCAGGGCCCCTCGGTGGGGGCATCTCCGGTCCTTTGGTGGGCGGGAAACTCTCAGAGGCAGTGGGCTCTTTGGTAAACCAGGTTATGTCGTTACAGAGGGCGAATTGGCAACACTGAGAGGGAAAAATCGTTAGTTTCATCACAGAAAGTTAAGTAGAACAAAGCACAATTTTTTATTTACAAAAAATGCAGAATTTCGTATATTGTTATGCTACAAGATAACATACCTGGTGTCCAATTTTAGTTACTCATTAGTAACCATAGTTACTCACTAGTAACCATAGTTACTCACTAGTAACCATAGTGATAAGATAACATACCTGGTGTCCAATGTTGTTCTCTTGTTCAGCACAGAAGAAGAAACTCTCGTTGATGTGAGTGCAGCCTCGAGCGGTGACTTCGTACACTCCTCTTCTGTCCGGGTCACGTGACTCCTCAGCTAGATAGAAACAGGAGCCCGACTCTGCAGTGCAGGTCCCGCTGTCATCTGTACAGTACTCTGCAGTACACCTGGACAATGTGTTAATAACTTGTTCTGTAAAGAAACCAACAGTTATTGAGTCCTTCATTAGTTACCATAGTTACTCGCTAGTAACCATAGTTACTCGCTAGTAACCATTGTTACTCGCTAGTAACCATAGTTACTCGCTAGTAACCATAGTTACTCGCTAGTAACCATAGTTACTCACTAGTAACCATAGCTACTCACTAGTAACCATAGCTACTCACTAGTAACCATAGTTACTCACTAGTAACCATAGTTACTCACTAGTAACCATAGTTACTCACTAGTAACCATAGTTACTCACTAGTAACCATAGCTACTCACTAGTAACCATAGCTACTCACTAGTAACCATAGCTACTCACTAGTAACCATAGTTACTCACTAGTAACCATAGTTACTCACTAGTAACCATAGTTACTCACTAGTAACCATAGTTACTCACTAGTAACCATAGTTACTCACAAGTAACCATAGTTACTCACTAGTAACCATAGTTACTCACTAGTAACCATAGTTACTCACTAGTAACCATAGTTACTCACTAGTAACCATAGTTACTCACTAGTAACCATAGTTACTCACTAGTAACCATAGTTACTCACTAGTAACCATAGTTACTCACTAGTAAAGAAACCAACAGTACCTTTATTAATTCCTTCATTGAAGTAGTAGTTGTACAGCAATACTAATAATACAATACTAATTGATAATATAGCAATACTAAGGTAATGAAACCTAAACCCTGTACATTAAAAACATGTTATTACATACATTATACACCTGTATAACCTACACTAGCTTCTCACTCACTTGCATTCAATAGGGACGATCGTGTCTTCATCAGAGATGAATCTGGCTAGCACAGAATAGCATAGCAGGGGTAGGAGGTACAGTGGTGCGGATCTAACCATTGTCTAAGATCATTATCACTGGAAAATAAATCAAAGATAATGCTTGCTTCATTATTGAAAATATAATGATGATTTAGTACTGATTATTATAGCTAGCGAAGTGAAATGAAGGAAAATAAACTAGCCTCTTAATGAAGCCTGTAAACAATTGGGAAATTGTAAAAAATTCCACCACAATACGTTAAACTGTGTGGTGTTATAGTTCCAACCATGAATTGTCGTTTGATTTTATGCACAACGTTATAGTACGTACTAGTACGTTATAGTACGTTCTAGTACGTTCTAGTACGTTCTAGTACGTTCCAGTACGTTATAGTACGTTATAGTACGTCCTAGTACGTTATAGTACGTTATAGTACGTCCTAGTACGTTCTAGTACGTACTAGTACGTTCTAGTAGTTCTAGTACGCTCTAGTACGTACTAGTATACGTTCTAGTACGATCTAGTACGATCTAGTACGTTCTAGTACGTTATAGTACGTTATAGTACGTTTTAGTACGTTCTAGTACGCTCTAGTACGTTCTAGTATGCTCTAGTACGTTCTAGTACGCTCTAGTACGTACTAGTACGTCCTAGTACGTTCTAGTACGTTCTAGTACGTTCTAGTACCTTCTAGTACGTTATAGTACATTATAGTACGTTCTAGTACATTATAGTACGTTATAGTACGTTCTAGTACGTTCTAGTACGTTCTAGTACGTTCCAGTACGTTCTAGTACGTTAAAGTACGTTTTAGTACGTTCTAGTACCTTCTAGTACGTTATAGTACATTATAGTACGTTCTAGTACGTTCTAGTATGTTATAGTACGTCCTATTACGTCTTAGTACGTTCTAGTACGTCATATTACGTTTTAGTACGTTCTAGTACGTCCTATTACGTTTTAGTACGTTCTAGTACTTCCTATTACGTTTTAGTACGTTCTAGTACGTTAAAACGTAACTTCGTGTTCAGTTAAAGAACTATCAAAGTGTCAGAAACAACATAACGTGAGGAATAGATTGACGATCAGCAGCAATGCAGTACTCCCATTCTGTTGAATTAGTTGGATTTTAGTGGGCAGTGTGTACAAAGTGTCACCAGATGTCGTGCTGGAATCTCCAACACGTAATGCTGGGGGTGTCTCGTAATTATTAGTAATATTACTTATAATATTACATCATTAACGGTTACCAGCTGATGGGTCAAAGCGGTTAAAACTCAGCAGCAATTGCTGAATGTTTACAACGGGCAACATTTCAGGATGGGAGTATAATACTTGGAGCAGAGTAAATAAATTGTGGAAGTAAACATATTATAGAACTATAACGACTGAACAAGTAGTTAAAGTAAACACACAGCAGGTATCAGTATAGACAGGTTGGTATTAATTTTTAGTAACTAACAGTCTCCTCTCCACTCTCAATAAATTGGAGCTAGAAGGTTGAGTGTCGGTAATGACACATCACAGAGTCGGTCACTTTGTACCAATATTCACCTCCAGCTAGAGAACGCTTCCTAATTAACGTACTGCTCTCCTCAATATGTGGTATGTTACGAGGCTACTTTTTATTGTTATCTTCCGTTACGAATTGTAGTTATTGTTATTCAAATTAAATAGTGGAGCATCCCGGGTATGGAAACAATAATTGTAATCATTTAACACAACTCCAGGAAGAAATAATAATTGTGTGTTACTTTGGCAAAGCTCCCGAAGATAATGAATATGTTGAAAATAATCATAAAACTTATCGGGCGGTGTTGAAAAGGATTGCCGCCTTACCGTGTCAGATTAAGCGTGTGTATTATTAGTTTTACAACTGCAGTCAAATTGAAACAGTATTGAAGCTGTAAGAAAAGAGTGGTGTATTACAACTGCAGTCAAATTGAAACAGTATTGAAGCTGTAACAGACGAGTGGTGTATTACAACTGCAGTCAAATTGAAACAGTATTGAAGCTGTCGACAGGTCAAATTTGATAGCAATCAAGGAAACTTCAGACGGAATACATTTAAAAGAGACAGATCTGGTAACCTTGACAACCTGGTAACCTTGACAACCTGGTAACCTTGACAACCTGGTAACCTTGACAACCTGGTAACCTTGACAACCTGGTAACCTTGACAACCTGGTAACCTTGACAACCTGGTAACCTTGACAACCTGGTAACCTTGACAACCTGGTAACCTTGACAACCTGGCTGATAACAGACCTGTCCTCCATATCAGTGAAGGATATTTGCTCTTATCTGTTGTAAGGTGTGATCACAGGTGGTGATCACAGCCTGGCTGTGCTTGTCCACATTTGTTAGCAGTGAGTTGTGGTGAGTTGTAGTGAGTTGTGGTGATGTATAGTGAGTTGTGGCTAGTAACTGAGCTCTCTTCAGAATGTGCACAATGTTGCTGAGGAGTAGAGCTAGCAGTAGTGAGTAGTACAATGCAGCAATGTTGTTGAGGATGGGGAGGGTAATGGCTCGTTAGTCCAGACTAATTTCACCTCTGTTTTACCCTCGCGTACAATTGCACGGTTACAACGCTGACCATGTAAACTGTGGTGTTGTTACTGTGAGTACTGTAGGTAATACTAATTACTAGTTTACTACGTGTTTACTACGTGATTAGGTAATACTAATAACTAGTTTACTACGTGTTTACTACGTGATTAGGTAATACTAATAACTAGTTTACTACGTGTTTACTACGTGATTAGGTAATACTAATAACTAGTTTACTACATGTTTACTACGTGATTAGGTAATACTAATTACGTGTTTACTTCGTGTTAACTACGTGATTAGGTAATACTAATTACTAGTTTACTAACTGTTATTGGCTCAATTCTTTATCCACTTCTTTATCGTGAAGATATCGAAACAGTCAACAAGTCTCAATATAAACGCCGTGCCCAGGATCTGTGATGTTTTAACTAACGGACCTAGTAGTGTAACTATGGTAACTAGTAGTGTAACTATGGTAACTAGTAGTGTAACTATGGTAACTAGTAGTGTAACTATGGTAACTAGTAGTGTAACTATGGTAACTAGTAGTGTAACTATGGTAACTAGTAGTGTAACTATGGTAACTAGTAGTGTAACTATGGTAACTAGTAGTGTAACTATGGTAACTAGTAGTGTAACTATGGTAACTAGTAGTGTAACTATGGTAACTAGTAGTGTAACTATAATGGTAACTAGTAGTGTAACTATGGTAACTAGTAGTGTAACTATGGTAACTAGGACGAGAACGCTGCAGCTCGTAGTAGTATAACTATGGTAACTAGTAGTGTAACTATGGTAACTAGTAGTGTAACTATGGTAACTAGAAGTGTAACTATGGTAACTAGTAGTATAACTATGGTAACTAGTAGTGTAACTATGGTAACTAGTAGTGTAACTATGGTAACTAGTAGTGTAACTATGGTAACTAGGACGAGAACGCTGCAGCTCGTAGTAGTATAACTTTGGTAACTAGTAGTGTAACTATGGTAACTAGTAGTGTAACTATGGTAACTAGTAGTGTAACTATGGTAACTAGGACGAGAACGCTGCAGCTCGTAGTAGTATAACTATAGTAACTAGTAGTGTAACTATGGTAACTAGGACGAGAACCCTGCCAATATGCCAGAGCTGGCTCTAAAAGAAGGAGCTCAAACACCTTGACCAAAATCTCATCTATAGCAGTAGCAGTACAAGACGCCAAATATAAAAGTATAGCGGAGCGGCTAGCCAAATATTAGAGTATAGCGGAGCGGCTAGCCAAATATTAAAGTATAGCGGAGCGGCTAGCCAAATATTAGAGTATAGCGGAGCGGCTAGGCAAATATTAGAGTATAGCGGAGCGGCTAGCCAAATATTAGAGTATAGCGGAGCTGCTAGCCAAATATTAGAGTATAGCGGAGCGGCTAGCCAAATATTAAAGTATAGCGGAGCGGCTAGCCAAATATTAGAATATAGCGGAGCGGCTAGGCAAATATTAGAGTATAGCGGAGCGGCTAGCCAAATATTAGAGTATAGCGGAGCTGCTAGCCAAATATTAGAGTATAGCGGAGCGGCTAGCCAAATATTAAAGTATAGCGGAGCGGCTAGCCAAATATTAGAATATAGCGGAGCGGCTAGCCAAATATTAGAGTATAGCGGAGCTAGCCTAATAAAGCACGTCAGAGTATAAGTGTGTCGTCGCTAAATGGCTTGTATCGTCCACCTTTCCACCTGCAGTTTGTCCAACTTATCAAATTAGCTAGTTTTACCTTGAAGTACTACTTACATACAGGTATCACATGACGTATAGCTTTACCTTGAACCTATAGCTTTTAAGGAAGCACTAACTTACCAGTATATTGTATAATGTATCACATGACTAGTTTTACCTTGAACCTATAGCTTTTAAGGAAGGACTACTTACCTCAGTTTTGCCTGTATAATGACATAGGCGGTGTAGTGGTAACACTACCTGCCCTTGTATCTTGTTGTTCTATAATCTTATAATTACCTGTAAAGCTGACTACTTCAGAGCAACAACCAGAACGCTGGTGCGGGTGGTTGTGGCCAGCTGGTGGTAATAATGTAAAATCATTACATATGTGGCATATGTAATGATTCTACATCATTACCACCAGCTACATAATATGTTGTATGTAATGACCAGAAAGGTCGGGCGAGTCACTTTTGTAATGTTATTAGAAGCAGGAGGGTGCTAAATAGGAGATGAGGGCGGTTTCATGTTAGCTTCCAATAGCATGTCCTTATATGGGCATCACTTGGGTGGCAGTGCGTGGTTTACTTCGAAGTAAGTTTCCACAAAACAGAAGTTTAAGTATCAGTTATATGACGTCATAACGGTTTGATGACATCATAACGGTTTGATGACGTCATAACGCTTAGGAGGTACAGCTTCCTCTGCAATTTACTCCGTAAACTTTATGCATGATTGCACTCAGTACTGACGTTCTGGTGTTATAATATGCCTTTAGTACCCTGGTACAGGTATATCATTCGACTTAGTGTAAAATACTAAAATAGAGTGCCTTGTACAGAATAACGAGC